ACGCCAAGCTGTAACGGCCAAGGACATATCACAGGGCTTTACTCACATCATCGCAGGTATAAAACTTAAGAAAAATCAACTAAATATTATTTTTTATAGAGTTCACACTAAAAAAAATGCTATGCGATTACTAGTGGTATGTTTGAAAAACTAAAATTACAAATAAATAAAATAAATACAAATTGTGGTAAAAGTACTTGCAACACATTTTTGCGACATCAACTCTTTTTTTATAAATATATTTCGTAACATTATATAGCTTAAGCTTCAAAAGAGCATGACTCCGGCTAACTTAACACTTTAAAACCATTCGTCGCTAAGTGTGCAATCACAGCAATGCAATACCACGCATGAGATATTTCAAAACTTTCGCAAAAGACCAAAAATATTTATTTTCCCTATAACTTTTCAATGTGTCCCCCATCTGACCGTACTGATTAATTCTTCTCCTTTTTTCTTGGTTCATGACTCATGAAAATCACGTTTGGTTTCAATTGGCCTGGACAGGTTCTCATTATTTATTTCCTCTGAGGACTTCATAATTTAAACTCACTTTTGAAAGCCTCTACGAATACTCGTTTTTGACAACAAATTTTCTATATTTTTTTTAAGAAGTCCTTCCAAATACCGTTGCTTATTTGTGTCTCAAAGAACACATCCACAGCCACACCAAAGTCCCTTTGTACCCGTCAGCTTGGATAGGGGCAAACTTCAGTCTGATTGTGCCTGATTCTAAAGGCTTGTAAAGAATATCTCTAAGCGCGCATGGCTCCGACCTCGATCAAGCTGACTCTTTAAGTTTAATTCCAGAGTTTGCTGTCCCTAGTAGACACTTAATTGATCCCGTAGCCTTGTAAAAATCTGCTCAGTAACCTCTTCTTAATATTTTTTTCGTCGTATTTCTTAGCCACGGCTTTTCACCAACCAGCGCACCACCGTAGGTTAATCTTTGTATTATAAGATACTTCGCCGTTTCTACTGAAGATCTTCTCGCATGTATGATAGATTACATTGGTTCTTTCCTCCAGGTTATTTCAGGTCTAACGTGAGAGTTTTGCCAGTGAGGGAAGGGCGTCAAAATCGGGTTTTGTTTTCGTTTTACGAGGCTTCTTAATGTAACTCGTTCAGAGATCAGTCTAGGATATAGGTATGGGAAAAGTAACGGACTCTTTCGGCATCGTCTCAACTTCGAAATCAATCAATCATTTTTCGTGTTGCTGCTGTGGTTATTCGTTTTCGTTTTCAAATATGGCAGCAGAAGCAACTGACGAACTGCGAAAGCCGATCAATTTCTTTTGCTTCTGCTTCCGTACTTTTCAATAAGCAAGCATCAGCAAAATGCCTTTACTGATAAGCATCGCATTCGTGGCGGAAAGCAAACATTCGTTTGCTTCGCAGCTCTTCTCGTGCTGCTGCTGTGGCTGTTCGTTTTTTTTTTCGAAGTCTAAGCAAAAGCATGAATATTGCTTTTGAAGCAAGACAAAGTCAGAAGTACAGCATTGCTGAAGCATTTCAAACCCTGGTTCCAGATAAAAGTGCAATAAAAAATAAAACAAATGTTGAGACAATTTTAGCCTTAAAACGGTTATTTAGGCGAAGAAGTACCGAAATTACTAATTTTTTCATTGTCAGTCGAAAAAATCATAACTGGTATTTTAATAACTTTGGGAAGTTTTCAAATAGAATGTTCATATTAGAGGCAATGAAAGTTGGCCTCAAATACATATAGCATATCTGTGAAGTTTCAAGAGCGTGCCACCAAATTAAAACAAATGAAATTTTACGAATTTTTAATTTTTAATTTATGATAATTCAAAATGTCAATATATATATAATGGTAT